AGCATGAGAACAGCAAACGTATATACTTACTGTACATACAGATGAACTTGTAGTGGTAGCTTAGGGTATTACATGGGTATGTTCCCCAGCGCCAGTTGTGTTCTCTTCTCAGCACCCCGCAGTCATTGACGTAGTAGGCAGGCCAGTAACCATGGGGCTCGTTCGGACCCCAGTTGGTGTACGACCACGTGGCCCCTGATTGTGAAGAGAGAATGTTCTGTATATTTACGTGTGTGTGTGTGTGTGTGTGTGTGTGTGTGTGTGTGTTTCGGGTGGCTTGCTCTAACTCCCAATATGTACAAAAAGAGAATATGATACTATTCACTGTTAAATTCAATATGTGATTTACTGTAACTCCCATAGTGTACACTTCGAAACTTAATGTAGACCAGTAACCATGTGGAACGGAGAACGTTGTAAACCGCTGTAAACCATGTGGAGACCACTAGCTGTACAAATAAACGCAAAGAAGATAAAAACAACATAAGAGAGAGAATTTTGTAATTTATACGAGAAGGAGGGAAGAGAGCACGCTCACCAGAATTCCACTGCCAAGACCCTTCGCTATGCATGTCGTGCGCCCCAAACCACACCCCGTTATTGTCCCAATGCCCCAAACCGTTTAACCGGCTCCTAATGAAGTCCATGGTACTTTGGTCGTATATCTCCACCAGCATCCCCCCGCTATAACTGCAGTAGCTCTGTGCCTCGCCCCAGTATCTCTCCATGTTGACAAACTGGTAGCATTTCTGGCCATAGGTATAAACTGTGTACGCCAGGCCACTTGGGCACCTGTACAACTGACTGCCTGAAGAAGAAAATGTTACAGTTATAATTAATACGTAATCGTTTATAAAAGGTTTGATAAAAGTGTGTTAGACTATATAGTTTTTGTACATGATTATGGCGCAGTAATAAGTATAAGTTTACATATTTCAAATTGTGGCTGTACAGTAGTTTAAGTGGCGGTAATTAAGAAACATCTTGCTTATAGTCGTTATATATAAAAGTGTACTTGGGTCCAAATGAATTAATTAATACATACAAAGATAGATGCAGTAGTGGTAGTGAGGCAATGACGGAATAATTTTCTCATATTCTGTGCTCAAATATATTTTCAATCATTGCCCGCTCACCATATTCCAATTACTTGACTCTAATTTTCTCGGCAGTGGAAAACTGTGTTGGGTTTGCCCGTCGGGAATTGGTGTAAAGAAACTGAGGGCAGGTGTAACAGAGAGTCCGCCCTCCATTAGATACATACATGTTACTGTTAGCGTGACGGCACTGGGTTCAATTCTAGGCCAGAGCTTACCCGTACAAATCAATGTCAACCGTTGTCGCCGGCGAGAGAAACCCCTGTGATACAGGGTTCGATTACCATTGATTATAGATTACGGAAGCCCCGTCTTAAACTTGACTCACTTACGTCAAGCTTACCCTAACCTGTGTGAATTTAATGGAGGGAGGATTTTCTGCCACTTGTCCCCTCACTTCCTCAACACCAGCCTAAGTCTTTTGTATCTCGTTCTTCCCTCAATACGGCCTCATTGCTCATGTGAACACCAGAAATAGCTCTTTTTCACCGCCCTAGTTATATGCACAGTCACAATACACCATGACCTAATACCAGCTAAAGACCATATGAGTGTAATTCATCAGTGCCTGCGGCTGTAAACAGGCATTATCAATGCCCCTGTTCGTATGCTTTAAGTACAGATATTATAGATGTTTTTTTTTCTATTCTTACTTTCTTTTCTTTTCTTTCTTTTGTGACAAAAAAGGTAATCTATGGTATATAGCACCAATAGCGTACGACTGGTTACGTTATCCTCCAACACACACACACACGCACACACACGCTTGCACGCACACACACACGCGTGCGCTCAAACAAGCACATACATATGCATGCACTTCTATCTGCTCGCAAATAAACGAGTAATGATTAAGAGAGTCAAAAAGACACACTCATGCGTAGACATGTATACCCGAACAGTCATGAGAGAATACCTGCATACCTTCAGAAGAGGTACAGTACTCTCTACAAGAGTCACAGATTTATTTCACTTTAGATATTCACAGATAGGGCCTATGTCTAGACATGGTGAAATGTCGGGTCTACTGGTCATGACACTGATTCTGAATCATTCCGACTTGGAAATGCTATAATTTTCTTACTTACGTGTCGGCAGAGAAAAAGCTCCATTTTCGTTACTTCCCCCTTTTTTATGTAGACATATTATGTCTCTGGCTCATTCATCATACAATTCCCTACTGTGTGGCGTAGGAAAAAGTACTCATAATTAATCGTTTCAGTGAGACGCTATTTTACCTATCACCTTCGTCCATTCTAATACCACGGCCTTAATAAGTTGTAACAGGAATGACAGTCCGAGAAAAGGAAGTCCGTGGTCCCGTATGGTTAGTACAGGTATATTGTCGGAGTATTGGGGTTTATATCTGCAGGGTTTATATCATATATAAATATGTAACCTGTGTAGAGTACTGGGGATCGGACTACAGTTTGAACAATGCCTGTCACACCGTCACTGCTAACAATACATGTGGTCAACCCAGCATATATTTGTTCAATACAAATACATTCATTTCTAACCGTAAATATCGACCCAAGTTGACAAATATTCCGCACGTCTTTAAAGTTCAGTTAAGTATTCAAATTTTTCATTTTTTTCTATAAAATCGTACCTGTCTTTATTGTTCATCGCATTTTATTAGCAATAGATCTAAGCAGGCACCTATAAATGTAAACAAAGGGAATCCATTCAAGCTGTGAATAATACATAAAGCAATTAAGACCGAAGATCTAATAACCGTGAAAAGGGTAGCTAGTAGGGGTATAAAAGTTGAGACCCATCGTAAATAATAATAATAATAATAATAATAATAATAATAATAATAATAATAATTACCTTGGCCCCAGTATGATGTCATCAATAACAACAGAAGGCGAAACCACAGCGTGTACCCTGAAGCACTGGTCATTTTTGTCACGCTAGGGTTTTCAACCAAACGGAAGCGGTCTTAGCTGCTGTGTTAGCTAGCTATAGTGTAGAGTGTCTGTGTCGTAGAAGTCTATAGTGTATATCTAAGCTGTTTTTATGTGTACCGGGTATATATACCATGTATGTCGCATGTGATCTCTGTAACTGAAAAGAGTATTCCACCCACAACAATGGAGTTCGATGGAGATGCAGTTGTTATCCCAAATATTATTCAGGGATTTTAAAACACAGCTGAGATCTTGAATGTAAAATCTCTCGGGCGACCTCTCAAGTCACACGGTGTATCATGCACAGTACCATAGAATCGAATCCGAATACGGTCAGCCTGGTTCCATGAACGCTCCTGGATACTCCTTAATATTCCATCAGAAATCGATGGTTTAGAACAGTCGAGCACCGTTGCATGCGACCTCCACACGTAGCATTACAGATGATATTAGTTCCTCGGGCGACGGTCTCTGTGTAGCACCGTTTTTCATTCACGCAAAAAATATGTACATACGCGCACCTCGTCTCACGATCGTACAGTACGTAACAGTTTTTATTTCGTAGTAGACGGGCTGTTAAAAACAAAAGCTGTCTAGATCATCGTTTATCGCTCAGACATCCCTAAACTGGTGTGCTCTGACCGGCGTATTTCACCTGACATGACAACAGTAGCAGTCCGTCCATACACTGTGTGTCGCAATAACGCAAACTTTCCTATGACTCATATAAATTCTATATCATCTTAAGCTTTTGTTACAGGTAGCTGCAAAGCGTTGACCCGAGCCCCAGGTAAGACGTAACCTGTGTGGAGAGTTTTAAAGAAGTATCTCGGGTTCGTTTACACCGAGGATTTAACCGAGAGAGGCTCTCGACCGAGATGACCTTTTTTCACACTTTTGCCCCTTGCGAAATCGCAGAATAAAAGGTTGACTGCAATCATTAGAAGTTAGCCGCTAGACCATTTGCTGTGAATTTCACGTACAGCACCTATTAAGTAACACATTGATGCTTTATGGAGCGGGGACAAAAGATAACTTTGTGGTACTAATTAAAATGTATCTGTGTAGGCCTACTGTTTATCATTATTGTATTATTTTCATTATACTTTTTATATGTTTGTCTATGTTTTAATTTCTAATTATTGCCTTTTACATACTAATTTAAAAACATTCAGGTTTGTCACATGATAAAGTTGTCTCAGTTTTAATCCCATTTGACACTCAGTACTTTCTTTTGAACTTTCAAATTTATATTAATCAGTTATGTCTAAAGCGTCAAAAAGAAGTATGGCAAGTTCAAAGACAAGTCGCGCTACATTTTGTTTTTAACATAAAATAAGACATGCTAAAATTAAGTGATATTTTTGATAAATTTTGCACAATTTGAAATAAGCTGAAGAAAAATATATTGTAGCTTGGGAGAAGTGTATTCTATATACGGTATTTTTAAGGAGAGAGATGGTGGACACTCAGTGAGACCGATCGGTGTGAACACGCTCGTTAAGTAAACACTTATAAAGGTATTCTAAGGGCGCCATTATTCAAAGAATTGGGTTAACATTTAGCATCGATATTATTGGTTCGGAAGAATGCCTGCGTATTCGCCTTCGTGTCCTGGGTATAAAGGCGTCTTAACAACAAAGGAAGATGTCGCTAAAATAAGTCAATTTAACAAAGAAGACTGCAGCACGAAGGCGTAGTTTGTGTATAGTATATGTTTCTTTCTGTCACAGTTGTAAAAATAGACGTGATTCAGCTCTTGTAACAAAAGCTCTTGGTGAAATGAAAGCGCGGAGAAGGCGGGGAAGTTTAAGGGTAAATTTTGGGAAAAGTACCCACCCGATCGCTTTCTATACCCGCTTCATGAAGCACCAAGTGTTCATAAACCGTAATTACTCGCGCACGCACGCGCGCGCACACACACACACTAAGAGAGAGAGAGAGAAACATGAGAAAATGTAGTACATACACACGATTTAGTCGGTGATAATCTTTATAAAAACTATTTATTTTTAGACGTAATTAATATCATAAGATTTTAATTAAAATCATAAGATCAAAATCATAAGATTTTAATTGCAAGTTAACATCCTCCGTATTGACAGTACAGAGAAACAGCTGCAATACACCATTCTATGGATGCATGGATACTTTGCAAATTTTTATCAAACATATGCAGTTGTTTTGCATAAAGTTAGTGCCAATATAAGTCGTCCTTATTCTTATATCACTTGTTTCCCTTAGTAGCGACAATTTTTTTTATGTCGAAATATGTTAGAGAAGAGTCGCTTATTATCTGAGACGTTTTTTCCGGGATTTTTAACATTACTAATCTCTTGCACATGTTACTTCTGATCAGGTACTTGTACATTTAACAAATGTCGATTTCCAATTAACAAATTGTCAAATCACTCGGGTTCACTACGCCAGTTTTGATTTTTTTTCTTCCAGATTTCAGCTCTGCTGACAATCTTTAGTTCACAATAAATAATTAAATAAAATTTCCATCACATATTCACTTCCTTCCCATGGTGGCGGCTATTCTCTTGCGTATATCGGCTACGTTGCCCCCTTTAAATTTCCCAGGCGTCTTGGCTCTGTCTCCGTCAAATCCCATGGTGGTACTGGTACTGCTCATGTAGGACGGCAGAGACGCAGGTTGGGGAGGCGGGTGGGGCACGCTGTAACTGTTTCCCGCGCTATTGCTGCGCTGACCCGGACTGTCCTTGGGACTGTCCTGTCTTGCTACAGAGACCCCTGGTGACAAGCTTGCAGCCCGCTGACTCTGGCCATACCCAGCTGAAATCAAAATGATGAAAAAAATGATGCATATATATATGTAACAATTTCCCGACAAATCCAAATTCCTCGAAAAATAGAAAAAACTAATTCCCTCTACTCATGATTAATTGCAAGGCCCATACGGTACCTGCACTTAGATTTGATGTTTGATACCATATCTGATTTTTGAATTACTTTATACCTGTATCAAATTCTGAAGTTTGTGCAAAAAAAAAAAAAAAAAAAATATATATATATATATATATATATATATATATATATATATATATATATATATATATATATATATATATATATATTGCTCAAATTGGAAATAAATTCTTACTTGCTGGCTTTTTATACTGCAGAAGCTCTTCTTTCAGTGCACTTAAAGCCTCGGTTAGTTCAAACCTTTCCTCACACTCTCTGCGTACAGTGTCCTGCAGCAAATCATTCTGAAAAAGATTATTATAACACAAGATGTTTTTTATTTCTCATTTTTACCATGAATCTAAAGTTCCAAGTTTTTTATAATAATAATAATAATAATAATAATAACATAGTGTACACATGCAGAATTAACCTCAGTACCATATAAAACTTCTTTATCAAATCTTAATGATATAAAGTACTTTCATGTAATTTTTAGAATCATTAACCAGTCAAGCCATACTCACATCTTCTTTGGCATTCGCAAGCTGCTGTTCTAAACTGCTGACTTCACTCCTAAGCTCTTCCATCATCTGATCCTTCCCCCTCAGATCTCCTTTCAGTTTGAGGACAACTTCATCACTTTCAAAATCAACTTTACCTAAATGGAGGTATTATTATAATTGTTAATTGTGGTTAATTCTGCAGACACTAAAGTAAAACTTTTTTTCTTTTTGGGCAACTTTTAACACAAATGTCACTTTTAACTAGTGGTACATGTATACATATGTTAACAGAAGCTGTTAAGCAGATTTTTTCATCATCGAAGTGTTAAAAACTTAGTGGTCAGTACCTTGAGAAAAGAGCCATTTGTAAAGTTCACCTTTGGACTTAAAAACTCCAATATCATTTCCCAATGTTTGTTTTTTCATTTTATAACAATACAATACAATACAATAAAATAAAATATTCATTCAAATAAAATCACCCCCCCCCCCAAAAAAAAAAAAAAAAAATACAAGAAAGAAATACACTTTTCTACTAAGATGCTAAAGTCAGCTATAATCTTCAGTTTTCTATCACGCTAGTCGCTCTCCACACCTAGCCTCTCTTCCAGCTCAGCTATGATAGTTTTCAGATTGCCAATCTCCTCTCTCAGAGAGTTCTCCATGTGTGTGCTGTTAGCTCTACACTCCCTGAGCTGTCTCTGAACCTCCACCATTTCAGCTTTGTGCTTACTGCCCAGCATGGTCAGTTCAGACTGGACCTGGAAGGGAACGGGATGGAGTTGGGTGCATGTAGACAGAGACATGAACCAGTCTGGGTTTTGTTCCTGTCTGAATCCACAGATTGTCATTCAGTGCATTCAGACAGAAAAGTAGAGTGGTTTTTAAATAAGTTAATTATTATTTTTATTGAAATTTGCAGATTGTCTTTCGGTGTTGAACATACTGGTGTGAATTAACATCCCTGCAAGAATGCCCACTGTTCTTGGGCACATTCACACAGGAATATAAACCCTGATTGCCTTAGGTCCATATCACACTTAGCATGTTCAGATACGATTTATGTTGAAACTTTTTTTGGTTATAAAAACATGTCAAAAGCTGACATAAATTATGTGAGTTGCAAGGCTGCATATACATGTAAAACTCTAATAAGCAAAGATACATGGGTTGCCAGCAAAATAAAATTTCCCCACACAGAGAAACATCTTTCCTACAGTAACTGTTGTTTCTTAAATAATTAATTGCCAGGCATCGAATGCTGGTATACTGGTTGGCGGCTGCATAATTCATAGCTTGACATTCAAGACATATATTGAACAAAACTGAGAATGCTTTTGTATTATTTTATAAAAACAATTTCTTATAAAGACATTAACAATGTTTTTGGGATATGCTATGGCATGGTAATAATCCTTCACCCTTAGTTTTATGAATTGCTCATATTAATCTATTATTTCATTTTTTAAATCTGAGGTTACTTTTTCCATGCATCATTTCTTTATATGTACTTTATAGGGTAAGGGTAAGCCTTTCAGCTCTGCACTAACATAATTTCATTTAAAAAAAATCAGTTATTTCTCTTATCAGATATGACATGTACAAATAAATATCAATGTATATAATTTACCTTTGATTCACTGTTTTTATTTTCTCTTACATATTTTTCCACCAACTCCTGGTGCTTTTCTTTTTCAATTTGCATTTCCTACAAGAAAAAACAATCAACTGCAGAAATTTCATTATAATTTATCAAACTTGGCCAGTCACAAAATTAACAACTGCTGGCTTTTAACAGTTTTAATTTGCAATGAGTGCCAGTAATAAATAAAAAATCGATTGCTTTAAATTAATACATTAATATTGTTTAATTAGTTTTATGTTGATAACATACATACCATGACAAAGTTTTCCTTCAACTTCTCCTCAAGTAATCTTATTTCAGCAGCATGTTTTTGCCTTTCTGATCTCAGTGCTTCTTCAAGCTACAGCAAATATATTAGAAATATCAGCTAGAAAAGTACTCACATGTCTTTCACTAATTAATCAATCAATTATTGGGTCTCAACAACAGCTTTCAAGTTAGCAGATTTCTGGCCTCTCCTAAAAACAAGAATCCATCAGTAACCTTCCAAGTCAGGCTTTAGACTTACACCTAACAAAGAATCTACCATTACCTCCTGAATGGAGGAAATAAATTCTATCAAATTCCTGTTGCTGTTAAATTCACATGCAGAGTATGATTTTTTTTGGTTGGTTGTGGTATTTATATACGAATGTGTAAACAGTTTTACTAGCAGAAAAAATAAGCACAATAAAGTTGTCTATTTTAGAGTGCTGTTGACAAATGATAAGTAGCAGTATTATCCAAAAAACAAATCTGTTCTCAAAATGACACATGCATACAAACACAAGGTTACACACCCACACATATACATACACATGCACACACACATACATATACACAAGAATACACACAAAAATTACCTTTTCTGGCCATTGTTCACTGTCCTGTATCTTCCTCCTAAAGCTGTCTTTGAGCTGCTCTATTCTATTCTGATGAGACAGGATCATGGACTCTCTAAGCATGAAAGATAACAGGTTGAAATATTAGTACATGTATCTCTCAGAAAGCTACACCATGAAAAAGGGTCCTCATGCCAGCACAGGTTGGTTGTTCTGAACTAGACAGCTGAGATAAGAAAAAGTGTTTTAAGACTAACTAACCTAAATTTTATGAACAATATGAGAGTCACCAATGGTGACAGTAGTAATGCCTAGGTTCAATGGCCAGTTACCTTTCTGCTTTTAGAGCCATCAGTTCTTCCTGTGTCCTATACAGTGCTGTTTTCATTTCCTCTGTTTTATCTGAAATTACAGATTGAAACACAAGTTGTGTAGTAAGACGAACAATAATGGCTGGTTGCATAAAAGAACTGAATTCAAAAGTCCAGCTAACTTTGAGAAGATTTTAGACTATTTTGAACTTAGCAGATACATAATGATATAATGTCAGACTCTGTTTTACCAGAAATAAAGTAAGAAAAATAACTGCTGTATCTACACCACCTAATGTACATATGTATATTGATCACAGACTAATTTTTCATCCTAAATTTAGGACCCTCCTTCAACTTGAGTTCTTTTTATGAAAACCATCTCTCATTATTGTACACTCACTTTCTGTGGCAGACGCCTTGTTTTTTATCTCCTGCTCAGTTCTCCGTTGCTCGTCAAACCTCTTGATCAGAGCATCCCTTTCCTTCTCACTCATGGCCAGCTGCGCCTCGGCCGCCTTCAGCTCACGGGTGAGTCTGGTCACGTTAGATTCCGCTGTCTGGTCTCTTTTGCGCTGCTGTGCTATGGTGTTCTCGACTTCCTGGGATTTGGCCCTGGATCAAAAAGGAAGCACCTTAACTTCAGATCTGATAATGATTATATTTCATTATGATTTTACTGGTAATATATACTTGAATACTCTTGATACCTTAGTTGTTCTTTATACTGCTCTGCTTGGAAAGTAACTGCTCTGCATTCTGTAACAGACTTCTCATACTGGTTTTTCAGGTCTGTAACAAGAAAATCATATGTTAAACCTTTATAAGCTGGCACAATGACTCCGGTCCAAATCAAGACACAACAAGATCCTGCCATATCACAAAACATGTAATGATTAATTTAAAACAATTTTAACTAATTCACTGGCTTATTAATAATTTAAAAATAATAATTACTACATATTAGAAAATTTCCAACTTTCAACTCCATTTACTTTTTCAAAAACAATGGAACCAGTCTATCAAATTTTATTGAATTGTGTAAAGGGTGGGATACATGAGACATCCCACTAGGCCTCAAAAACATAAGCACTAGGTGATATGGTAATCAACTGGTGATGCTTTTAATTATGGAAAAGCTCTAATAAAAAAATCACACAAATACAAAATAATAATAAATATGATAAATTTCAAGCTCACTTGTGAACTCCTTTTGCAATGCGTCTCTCTCCTGTAACAAGATGGCAGCTTGGTCGTGCTCAGTTTTCAGTTTGTCTTGCTGTGATTTATAGTTTGTCACAGTGTCTGTCAGCTCTGCTAACTTCCCCTGTAACACCTGGTTCTCCTTCTCCAGCTCTGTGACTTTTGTTTTAGACTTCTGTGTTTCTGGGAGTAAACAGAAAATCAGTTAATTGTCAAGGATGGTGGCAGTTAATGTTTCACAAACTTCACTGAAATTAGCCCCTTGGCCACTTTCTGGCTTTTCACTCCAAATAGTTGTGGTTTTTAAAAGATTTTTCTTTAGTTGTGTAATGGTCATTAATAAATCATGGATTTATCTTGAAGTTCCAGAAAAATCTATCACAAGTAATTGGATGACCTCTAACTTAGGACATATAACAAATGCATGGTTATCAGCTCTCCTGCCTAAACCCGAAGTATTATATGTTCCATGCAAGACATGCTGAAACAGCTGGTCCTTAAAGTCTTGACCAATAAAATTTATAAAGACTGTTAGAAAACTGTCTTCAATTGGTGTAAGGGTAACAGTTTTATGAGATGCCATTTTCAATTTATAGTCAGTCCAGCAAAAAAAAAAAAAAAAAAAAAAAAAAAAAAAAAAAATCCCACAAACTTTTTACAACCCTGAGTCCATATGTCCATATGCCTGTAACAGGTTCAGCATGTCAGCCACACAAAATGACCTAAGCATACCTGAAAGTTCAGCAGAACAAATCTTGTGGACAGCGGTCTTGATCCTGGCAAACTCCTCCTTCGTGATGCGGTCTCTATGTTCAACAAACGTCTGGATGTTCTGAAGACTGGATTTCTGCTGTTGAAGGGTAAGTATCAAAGGAGGAAGACTTTGACGCAGGGAATTCAGCTGTAATCTGTATTTGCATAGTAAAAAAATAAATAAATTAAATGAATAAATAAATATATCAAATAAATGAATAAATAAGTAAATAAATAATACTTATTGAATGGGATACTTATGTTCATTTGTCTACAAGAGAAATTAAGCTTTGAACAACAAACGAATGATAAAATTTAACATTTATCATTTAACAATTGACGGAATGGATTTTATTTCACCAGATAAGTGCTTTTGCTGAGTGAAAGAAACCAAAAAATATTGGTTGAAATTTCACATACAACTTGCATCTGTTTGGTCCAAAAACTTCAATACTTGACACATTTTTGGCAAATTGCCCAAAACATATTAATGCTCAACTAAGCCAAAAAATAGTTATCTCCTAATATTTTGGTATACATGTGCAGTAACTGTTTTAGGATAAGAGTTGGACAAATGCTACAGATTATGCATTAACACTAAATCTCAGATATAACAGTGTTTTTCCAACTTCCAACTTTTTAAAATACCTGCACTTTTCTCCATCTTGAATGCTTTTTCCAAGCCTTTCCTCCAATTCTTTTGAAGATGATTTTAATCTGTTTATGTTTTCTTCTTTGTCACTGACTTGTTGTTTAAGTTTTGACAAACTGAAATTATTATGCACACTGATAATTTCAATGTAAATGAAATTGTACACTGTGACAATGAAAACATCGTAATATAGTTTGATTTACTTTATAAAAATCAAGCGACAGCTGCAATTGTTGAAGATAAACCTGCCAGAATAAGATGTGCTATAATGGTGAGCCCTAAATATTCCATCAAGATTCTTTCTGTCTTTTACAATGAGCTGAATGATATAAATATAATCACCATCAATGAAAAAAAAACATTCCATAGTTAAGAGCACAGGCCACAATACATACATGGCATCTTTAGCTTCTATTGTTTGTTTTTGTTCTTCAAATTTATCCTGAACAACTTTGAGCTCTTGTCTCATCAGTCTTTCTTTTTCGTCGCATCCCTAGAAGTTGAAATAAAGTTCTGAATGATTTACAAGCATTTTAGATTTGTCAGCCATCTTCATTTCAGCTATTTACTCTTGTGTACCTCCAAAGCTCCCAACATAACGGAGCTCAAAATGTGACGACTTAAGAACCCTCCTTCCCCCTTTTCCTAAGAGCTGCCTCTTACTGACCTTAGCCTTTACATGTGTAAGTCTCATTTAGATTAGTCTATGGCACAAACCCTTTCTAAATTGATCCTGTCTTTGATATTAAGGCAAATATCAATAAAGTTTCAATTTATGTCCATTCCAGCCGAAAATACAATAGTACGTTGAGAACAAACTTTCTGTGAAGTGTCCTTTAAACATGGCACTAACTTTATAGCGCTCCAGCTCCTTCTGTGTTGCTGTTAATTTATCCTCTAAAGCCTTGATCTCTCGATGAATGAGATAACTGACACCACAGAACTTGCAAACCGTTTCACCACGCTCCATTTTCTGGATCTCCTCAGGGAGCGGGTGCTCGGGTGTGTGATACTCAAACTTCTCTCCATCATTATTTGCCATTTCAGTCTATATTATGGTGATGAATGGAAAATGAATAAATATATATTAAGTATGCCGACTTCATAAACATACATACATGTACAGTACATACTAGTAGAGAGAGAGAGAGAGAGAGAGAGAGAGAGAGAGGGAGGGGGAACGATAATAATGAGTGAGTTTGAAAAGTTGTCTTAATTATGAGAGATAGAGAGGGGGAGAGAGAAAGCGGGGGGAGAGAGAGCAAGGGGATAGAGGGAAGGGAAAGGGGGAGAGACGTTGAACGTCGGAATAAAAATAAACAAAACTTTTTAAAAATACAAAGGTAGTTAAAGTAAAGAACCCACCTATCTGGAAGCTACTGGTGCTCTGTTCTTGTCCTTAAAAAAACTAGCCTTTGATTCCTTTATTTCATTAGTGGACTGTAAAGTTACCTTCAACGGTCAACTTCCTCTCTTGTCTGCCTGAACTTCAAAGGAGGCGGCCATGATGAATCCAATGAAAACAATTCCATCCGGGTATCTGGTTCTTACTGATGTAAGAAAAGTGCACAAACATTAGGTAAAATATATCACAAGTCTATCAATAGTTGAAACTGAGTCATTAATCTAGAATTTTATGCATAAGTTTATAAATTTTGCTAATATATTTATTTTTAAAACGGAGAACAAAGCACTCTGGGTAAAGCGGGAAGTATGGCGACCGAGAGCAGACAATTTTCTGTCATAGAATCAAGAAAACATATTTCTTTCCGTTACTGGTAAGGATATTGAATCAGCTGCGCAATTTATTTATTTATGATATACCATACAACAATTGCAATTCTATGAAATGATATTTATGGAATGTAAACTTTGTGTTTTGGTAAAACAATTCCTTTTCCTATGTTTGCTGTCACAGCTGCAATGTTTGTAATTTTTCGGCTTTGGAAATACGAAAGCTTTCTCGACAGAATTTTCATATAATATTCTTAAAATTCTTAAAATTCAGGCATTTTATTATTCATGTCGCAACTGGAAAACGAGAAGAGTGTAGTATTTGTACCACCACCACACGGTTTAACGTTAAAAAGTTACTTTGTACCTTATTGTCACAACATACATGAGTATTACGGATGAGCCTGGACCAATGCTTTACCATTGTCTTTGGCGATGGCAAAATGTATTATGTCAGAGAATGGAGGATTGCCTTGTTTTCTTTTCTTGCTTCCCATTTCTGATTTGTCAATCCAGACATGGCGCCCAAACAGCAGTTGGACAAGGCAGCATGGCAGTGGGCAGAGACAGTGGAGCCAGAGGCAGTGACCTGGGAACATGTGGAGACTGCATACAGGATACACCTGAAACCTTGTAAACGTGGGGCATGCAGGTATGGTTCTGTTTGTAACCATTCTGACAAGGACACCACCAGTGTTGTGATGTTTTATCTGTAGTCTGATGGTGATGATGAGTCTGATTGATATGACTGATATTTTGGGTATAGGATGGCAAAAGATTGGATTTTTTAATGATTTTATTCAATTAAATTAGCAGAATTTTAAATTTTCTTTTTGGATCAGTATTTCATTATCTGGTAAATTTAGATTCTGTAGTTACCTCTAGTACATCTGCTAGCAACCAGATTAAGTTTTTGTCAGCTGGCCCAGGAAAAGTCTTTGGTCCAACAAATGTTCCATAATTGCTGGTTTTGAATATTTGGCTATTTTTAAAAAAAGTTTTCAGCATGCCTGATAATTAATTTCAGACGTAACTGCAAAGGTAACCCTAACTGTCTGAACTGTCTAGGAGAGAGAGAGTGGCTGGGGGAAATTGATGACTCCAACTGGCATGACATTGAGGATCCAGAAACAGAAAGACGAAAAGAGGTGATTACATTGGAATATTAAAGGCACCCGTAAATTGAAATGTAGCTCAAAATCCAAAATTCAGTTCTAGATATGACTTTTACATTTTCAAGTAATTTGTGAGGAAATGCATATATATATTTTAAGTAATAACAAAAAAGCAATCTTTAATTCCAATTATCACATGATTAATAAATCAGTTTATTTATTTGTATTTCAGAATGCATTTGTAGGACTCAAGAACCTTGGTGCTACTTGCTATGTGAACACTTATCTTCAAGTTTGGTTTCACAACCCAACATTCCGTGCTGCAATTTATGAATACCAAGATGAAGAAAACAGGAGTGCACTGGGTAAACCATCACTCTAGCCTCTCAATTCATTCCACTTTATACTAAGGCAGAAATATTTCTCACACAATTCTTTTATTAGCAGGACATACTTTAAATTTTAAAATTAAAATTTTCTGTCTGGTAGGCAAGAAAAAAATCATCTACATAACTTTTAATTAGTTATCTCTATTCATGTATTCAATCACAGCAGTGTTTGTATGATGAACACAGTTATTTCAGATCTTTTTACAAAACTTCAGAAATGTTAACCAGAGGGTCAGCTGCTGACACATCCCCATATGGTTCTGTCAAACCCCAAAGTGCAGTGACCAAG